TCCGGTTCGGCCTTCTGGGTCTCTGCCAGAGTTTGGTCTGAAAGCCAACAGGCTATGTTTACTTCGCCACACACACAGACAGACATAGATATGTTGCGTGACAGACAGCATTCCCGGTGAGGCTGTTTTCTGTGTAACCGCCGCAGAAATCCAAGTCGCGCGCACGGATCCCGTGCGGAACCAACTCGTTTACGTGCCCTCCCCACCCCACCCCCACCGGCTAGAGGAGGCTTTTGCACGGATCTTCCTCGAGGAGGTGTCCTCTTTCCTCGCCTGGCTCGGTCAACTTCCAGGCACGCTCCGAGTCATCCCGGAGAGCGGGATTACGCACGAAATTCCCGATTAGCGACAGGCCGGCCTCGCGATGGGGGGGGGGGGGGGGCGTGATGCCGCTTTGAAGAAGAGTGGCTCCTCCGTGTTGGGATGTGCGCAAGGGCCGCTAACGTCGGACGTTGCGCACGAAGACATAAGTCAGAATCAAAATCTTTGTCCTTTATTTAGATTGGATAGAATCATATGAGTTATTAAGCTCTTTTCAAAGGTATGTCCAGTAGGTCCCCCGTATAGCCTCAACAGAGTGTTGGGGCAAGTGCTGTTAGTGAGCACTTATAGTTGTCGGAACGGCGCAGGTGGAGAGGGTGGGGGACATTGCCCGACCGCCTTTGTCTCCCCAAGTACTGATGTTTTATACACAAAACCAAAGACTTACTTACGAGCTGAGTCGTCAACCTAGGGGAGGTCTAGGACATGTCCACATATTAACCAAACTGGTGTTGGTAGTGAGCAGACTCGATCTAAGATATCTGGGTTCATGGCCCAGTGCGCTAAGCATTACACGACCGCTATCCATACATACACGCTTTCACTCGTACACACACACACATCAGTACATCACACATTTACATGGCCGAGAGACAAATCTTCATATGCATATCTACACACGTACACACACGCACACGTATATGACCCCAAGAGACACATGTTCACACATGACACCGACAAAAATCTCCAGTATAGCCTTAACAGACTGTTGGGACAAGTGCTGTTAGCGAGCACCTATGAAGAACGGCACGGCACACGAGATGGGTGGGTGGGCCAGCACCACCCCCGGCCGCCTTTGGATTGCCTAGTGGCGATGTTTACACACCGCACCATGTACTCATTTGAGGCTGAGTCGACCTAGAGAAGGCCCAGCACCGGTGCGTCACTGGCATTGGCCGTGAGGAGGAATCAAACTCGGTTCCCCGAATTTTGAAGTAGTGCAGCTATACACAGACCGCTACACTACCGGCTCACATCATTAGACCTTCTTTGCCTGTACCAAAATATAATAATAGGGTTTTTGTCCTTTTTTCAGGCAACAAAACTGAAACCTTTTAATAAGGAGCCCTCATTACTTTGATAGTGGAATTGTCTTTGAGCTGTACGCCTTTTGGCGTCCTCTGCTCGAGCACCAATTGGGTCGAGGCTCAAAAGAAAGCCGTCCCTTGGTGTGGACCAATCAGTTTCAAGGACAATGCATGTATTATCATAGTGTGATTTTTGTTTGCATTTTGGTTAATGCAGACATTAATCCTTGTAAAAAGGGTTTCAGTTTTGTTGCCAGGAAAAAAGGGGAAAAGCCCCTACTATTATACCGGCTCACAGGCAAGAGAAGCACGCGCGCGAATACGCGTGCTTCCCGACACGAGCGACGGCGTTGGGGAGGTGGACCTTCAATCCAGCAGTGGATTGGCGCGGGGCTTGCTTCGCACGAGTCGCGAGACAATCGAATGAAACCGCTGCCGAGGATTTCGCTTGGAAAGGGGTTGGCGCGAGAGAAGCGCCTCTGCGTCGACTCTTCTTTTCCACGCTTTCTCTACCGCACCCTCATAAAAAAAAAATACCGACAATAATTGGTCTGGAGCCGCCCGGCCACGACTGATAGACAACAGCAGGTGACTCGCCACAGCACGAGTTCCCCCCCCCCACCCCCAACACACACATATATATACAAAGATAAAGATCCTCCGTATAGTCTTAACAGACTGTTGGGACAAGTGCTGTTAGCGAGCAGTACCTATGAAGGCCTGCACGGCACACAAAGGGGGGGTGGGTGACCAGCACCATGCCCGGCCGCCTTTGTCTCCCCAAGTGGCGATGTTTACACACCGCGCCAGGTGCTCATTTGAGGCTGAGTCGACCTAGGGGAGGTCCAGGACCGGTTCAGATAACCGTCACCGGTGTTGGCCGTGAGCGGGAATCGATCTCGGGTCGCCGGGTTCGTAGCGCAGCGTAGCGCTAACCGCTACACCACCGCTCCGGTCGAAAGAACCAAAGAATAATTCCTGCAGTCACGAAAGCTCCAAAATTAAGATACATACACACATATACGTACATACAGACAACGCCAAAGATCCCCATATATATATCCTTACCAGGTTGTTGGGGCAAGTGCTGATAGCGACCACCGATGAAAGATGTACAACACGGATTGGTGTGGCTAGAGCCACAGCATTTGTCTCCCCAGTGCCGATGTTTACACCTCGCACCGGACCATCATTTGAGGCTGAGTCGACTAAAGTGAGGCCCAGGCAGGGCTCAGATATTTTGCCACGATTATTTGTTTCGAGAGGGGAATCTTAACTGGGGTTGCCGAAACCCTCCGAGAGCCTCAACAAGCTGCTGGGGCCAGTGCTGATAGCGAGCACCTATGAAGGTACAACACAGCACAGGAGTATGGCGAGCACCACGCCAGGCCGCCTTTGTCTCCCCGAGTGGTGATTTTTACACACAAGGCTGTTGTGGGTCCTGAGTGGAAGTTGAACTCGCATACTCATAAACACAGACACACACGGTAACCGATCTTAAGGCTGTTGTGGGCCCTGAGTGGGAGTCGAACTCGGGTTGCCGCATTCGTAGCGCATACTCATAAACACAAAGATCCCCCGTGTAGCCTTAACAGACTATAGGGGCAAGTGCTGTTAGCGAGCACCTATGAAGGCCGGAACGGTACACGAGGGGGTGGGTGGCCAGCACCACGCCCGACCGCCTTTGTCTCCCCAGTGGCTATGTCTCCACACCGCACCAGGTACTCATTTGAGGATGAGTCGACCTAGGGGAGGCCCAGGACCGGTTCAGATAATCGTCACTGGTGTTGGCCGTGAGCGGGAATCGAACCCGGGTCGCCGGGTTCATAGCGCAGCGCGCTAACCGCTACACGACCGCTCCCCTACTCATAAACACACACACACAAGCTACGGATGGAAACATTACACGTGCACGGGTGAGTATACGCACACGTGCGACGAAACGTACACATCAACTGGTCGGTGTGCACACACGGGTTACAAACACACCCGTATGTATATATATATATACGCACGGATATGGCTATAATTCCACACACACGTATGTAAATGTATGTTGAACTTCTTTCGCTCCGTACGTAGCCGACACGTGTATGCACATACGCGCATCGGTGTGACACACGTTAACGCACGGGTGTGGCTACACAGACGCGTAAGAACTCGAGATACACACACATACACACACGTGTAGGCGCAAGGGCTTGAATGCACACATACACGCGTACACAACACATACGGGTGTGGATACACGTTCTCTGTGTGCATCCTACACGCAGACGCGTAGCTAGGGGGGGGGGGGGGCAGGGGGGTACATATGTCCCCGGGCGCCAAGGTAAAGGGGCGCCAAAATGAGGCTTACAAGCCTACGTGTTAAACTGAGGCTTACAACGTTACATTATAACTTATTGCGGCGGGCGCGGCAGCCTGAAACTACTGCACAGATCTACACCTCAACCTAAAAGTTTATTTATCCCGCCACACACAGCCTACATGTCATGTAATTACATTTTGTGATTAAACGGGGGGGGGGGGGGGGCGCCAATTTTATAGTTCGTCCCCGGGCGCAAAATATCCTAGCGACGCCACTGCCTACACGTGAGGTATTGATACACACATACACGTGTACACACACTCGAGTATAAATACACACGTCAAAGACAAATATCCCCCGTACAGCCTTACCAGGTTGTTGGGGCAAGTGCTGTTAAGCGGGCACCGATGAAGGCCGACACGGCACACGAGCGAGTGGGTGGCCAGAACCACGCCCGGCCGTCTTAATCTCCCGAGTAGCGATGTTTACACAGCGCACCAGGTACTCATTTGAGGCTCAGTCGACCTAGGAGAAGCCCAGGAACGTGTTCAGATAATCGTCACTGGTGTTGGCCGTGAACTGGGCTCTGCCGGGTTCGTAGCGCAGCGCGCTAACCGTTGCGCCACGGCTCCCATGCACAACGCGTTTGCTAATCAAGCGCCCTTGCTCGAGCACGTGGAAGCACCCACGTGCTCGACTCAAAGCAGGGTGCCCCCCCCCCCCACTTCTCCCCCCACACCACTAACCCCTATAATTATATCTGGCCCGCCCCGCGCTCTACTTTGCATATAACCCGCGAGTCTGTTCCTCGTAGAGAATCCGTCTATTTTTTTTCAACACGCGGTCGGCTTTCGCGACCGATATTACGATTGAGAGGTGATTCATTTTGGCTGTAACCGTCAGCTCAGCGAAGCGCCGTTACCCATTTCAGTGTCGTGAGACAACTCTCCAACAACGACACGAACGGCGGGTGCCGCTGAAGCAGTCATACAATTTGGCCACGTTTGTGACACCTTAATTCGTTGGCTGTGGCGGGTGGAGGAGGGTTTCACGACACAAATTATTGACACAATTTGACCCCAACAACGACAACAATTGTGAATCAGGAATGTGTCTCGTTCGGGGCTTATTTGCATCTCCCTGCTCCACAGCGCGGCTTGGAAAAGACGCGTGTGGTGATGATGATGGTGGTGGTGCTGTTAGCCCGTAGACCGCCCCTCTCTCGTTACTCTCTATTTATAACAGGAGGATCGCATTCCCTCCTCCTCCTCCTGTTCCTCCTACGCAGGCGCCTTGAAGGAGGGAAGGGCAGGGGAGAGGATCACTCTCATTGACGTGGGGTTCCTTCCTGCAGCGGCTTGCTGCCACCGCTCCACATAGAAGCGCAGTATTGGCAGCAGAGGCAGCAGCGTCCACGTGCGCGTGCGACTCTGTCTATATAGAGCGAGTGACTGAGTGCCCTTTATCTTAGAAGGTGTGTGGCTTTTGCTGGTGTTGTTGTCAAGAATCTCGAATGATTGCTCGCTTGGAGGATTGTTCAGCGTGGGGGTACTGGAGACGCAACGGAGAAGAGTGATTCTGTTGCGGTTTCATAGATATATATATATTTTACGTTTGTTTTTTTCTGTTTGGTTTGGTCCTTATTGTTGGTTTCGTTTGCTGGAAGAGATCGGCCATGGATCACGCCGTGTTCAGCTACATGAACCAGTCGCACAGCGGTGTCCCGCCACCGCCAGGGCTTCATCACTTCCCACCCGTGGCCCTGCACGGCCGCGGAGCCCTAGAGCGAGTGCCCTTCCCCGACATCGCCGCCTCGTGCCTCGTGTCGTCGGGGTTTGTAGCCAGCGAGGGCGCAGGGCTCACGGCCCGGACGAACGGACACAATCACCACCACCACAGCAACCACCACCATCACCACCAACTCCACCACCACCATCATCATCAGAGCAGCAGCAGCAACAGCAGCAGCGTCAGCAGCCAGCACCATCACCACCAGCAGCAGCACCAACAAGAAACCCACCACCAACAACACCATCACAGCCATCATCCGCAACAACAACAGCAGCAGCAGCAGCAATTGTCCGTGTGGCATCATCATCAGCAGCAGCAACATCATCAGCAGCAACATCAGCAGCAGCAGCATCAGCATCGTCAAGTGTCGTCGCACTTCGCCGCTGCGTCCACTCTGCACGCGGTCGCCCCTGCCGCTGAGCAGCCGGTCTCCTCTCCGACGAGCGCAGCCTCAGCGGGGGAGACCTCCCCGCGCCTGGCTGCCTGCAGCCTGGAGCCACAGCAACAGCAGCAACAGCAGCAGCAACAGCAGCCGCAGCAGCAACAGCAACAGCAGCCGAACGCGTCTGAGTGCGGGAAGAAGACTGCCGGCAGGAGGAAGCCCGTGGTGGAATCTTCTTTCCGCGGTGAGTTCCTCTCTTCTATCAACCATCTATGTGAGTCCCTCTCTTGTATCAACCAAGTACTTATACAACTGGGTGAGTCCCTCTCTTGTATCAACCAAGTACTTATACAACTGGGTGAGTCCCTCTCTTGTATCAACCAAGTACTTATACAACTGGGTGAGTCCCTCTCTTGTATCAACCAAGTACTTATACAACTGGGTGAGTCCCTCTCTTGTATCAACCAAGTACTTATACAACTGGGTGAGTCCCTCTCTTCTATCAACCAAGTACTTATACAACTGGGTGAGTCCCTCTCTTCTATCAACCAAGTACTTATACAACTGGGTGAGTCCCTCTCTTCTATCAACCAAGTACTTATACAACTGGGTGAGTCCCTCTCTTGTATCAACCAAGTACTATACAACTGGGTGAGTCCCTCTCTTCTATCAACCAAGTACTATACAACGAGGCGAGTTCCTCTCTTTTAATAAAGTTCTCTGCAACTCTGTACTTGCGTTGGTACTGGTGCACGAGCAAAAACAACATGGAAACGATTATATATACCACTGCCTTAAAAGTAAAAATGTAATATTCAATTTACAATTATTCATATGCCAATATAAAATTGGAATAGAGAGCAGTCTCCAACTCTCACTATCCACTCAATCTCTCTGTCCTCTCTATTTGCTACGCAGGAGATGTAATTGCCCGAGTGCCTCTATTTGAATCAATCAAGTCCTGTACAACGAGGCGAGTTTGTATGTGTGTTGAACTTCTTTCGCACCGTACGTGGCCACGCCGTGCTAATCAGAGGTGCGGGGGAAGGACAACAAACTAAACACAAAAAAATCAGTTCTAAAGTAACTCGTTTTCAATCTATATTAAAAGTGCGTAGCTCCAGTGGCTTCCTAATATCGGAAGGAAGAGCGTTCCAGACGGTCGCAGAAGCGCATCTGAAAGCGCCGCGCGATGCGGTGACCACCGTCTTTTTCCGATGGTTCGTCAAAAGCCGCAGCTGCGAGAATCATGACCGGAGATGGCGCGATGGTTTATGCTCCTTGACGAGATCAGCAAGCTATTGTGGTTCATTTGTGGCGTGCACTTTTTGTTTCATCGAGTGCGACCTTGTAATGTTTTCGTTCTATCTTCTAGAAATCAAGTCCTATATATATATAAAACCACGTTCGGAGCGAATGAGACACAAACCTCGGATGTGTGTATTTGTATATATATACTATATTTGTGAGTGTATGTATCTATGCACGTACGTACGTGTCTTTATGTATTTGTGTGAAGATATGTGTCTGCGTGTGTATATGTGTATTTTTACGTTTGCGTATATGTGTAGGCATATGTCGATGCATATATCCGTTGTGGGTACATACTGTGGATGTATGTAGACATGTCTATGTGCGTGTGTGAATCAGAATCTGTATTTATCCTGGAGAAATCCCATGAGCCGTGAAGTTCTTTCACACGTATGTCCGTGCCATTTGTGCAAAGATTGCTACTCGCAACTTTCCAGCCGTGGCACCCCATACGGGAAGGGGTTTACAGGAGGGTCAATGATGTTATTGTCTGGGAAAGGAACGGCAAAGGGAAGCGAGAGAGCAGATGAAGATTGGGAAAAACGATGGAAAAGGAACGGAGTAACGCGAGCAGAGGGTCAAGAGAGATGCGGAGAGGGAGAGGAGGAGGGGACGTAGGGCTTCAACACAGCTGCACGGAGCAGCGTCGATGTTTTCACAGCGGGAGGAGCGGAAGGATGCAGAAGTTAGGGGTGGCCCAAACACGAGTCGCGAGACGGTCGCGAGGTTTGATCCGATGTAGATATCGAGATATTATGAGCACACATTGGCGTTGACGACGGATTTCGATGGATGTCACAGTAGCGGTCTCGAAATGTGCTGCATCGAGTGCGGCGCAGAGGGGTACACGGTGCAATGAGTGTATAGCATTGCATGCCAAAAAACTATCAGCCTTATCCAGACCACCAGCTCGAAATAACTGCATGTGCGGCCTTTTCATAATTTAGGCCACCAACTCAAATGTTATAAACTATCCGTTAAAATGACGTCATTATCAGCTTTTTATGATGGATTTTAATGACATTTGTTTTTAGGATAATGATGCATTCGTCTGGGAAATAATATTTGGGTCGCCATTATCCTTTCAATTGCGGGAAACCGGTGACCTGAGTTTGATTCTGGCCCATTGCTGATGTCAGTGGCGACTGATTGATGTCTACTGCCCACCTCCACCTTCACCAACGCGCGCTGACCAACGTGGTGAAGTATGGCAAAAAAAACGCCTCATGACCAACAAGGCGTGGGAAATTGTGCGGAAAGTCTTCACCCAGTCGTGGATTGACCAAGGGATGTGCATTATACCAATTGTTATGATTGTACTGTATTAGCAGCCTTCACGTCTTTTGGAAGTGAGTGTCCATCCGTCCCTCCATTCGCAGGTGCCGTCCTGCCAGCGAGCCAGCAAAACGTTTTTGTTTCTAATATAGCATGATTGTCAGTGTTTTGCAGTTGCCTTATAAACACGTGGTTGAGTGTGAAGGCGGGTGTATATGTGTGTGTGTGTGCCACTGAGTGGGGGGCGATTGTGTAGCGGTTAGAGCGTTGCGCTTACGAACCCGGCGAAACGAGTTCGATTTCCACTCACGGCCAACACCATATTCTTTGGATCTTTCGGTAAAGTCACGTAGATAGGTTCAAAGAAAATAACAAACAACTACGACCTTTTGATCGCAACTCAAGTGGTCATCATCAGGATAAGGGGGTTATCTTCTAAAGGCAAACTGTTTATAAAGGTTTAAAATGGGCGTAGCCCAAATGTCAGCAGCATGGGTGGGGCAGCTAATGTTAATGTAAGTGATGGGCAGCGACCTCGATTGGCGGTGGGTTTCCACCAATTAAAGGGCTGCCAGGTACAAATTAGCATGTTAATGTAAGATCGGTGAGCGGCCTCCACGGCGAATGCGCTGAGGCGGCTATGTTAATGTGAGAGATTAGCGTGTTAATGTGAGAGATTAGCGTGTTAATGTGAGAGATTAGCGTGTTAATGTGAGAGATTAGCGTGTTAATGTAAGATGGCAGAGCCACCGCCACTTCGAGGTCGGCGCGCGAAGGTGGCTGTGTTGGTGTGAGAAATGTAGCCTGTCAATGTAAAATCGGTGAGCTGAAAATAACAACTAACATCGGAAGGTGGCAGGATGGGAACATCACAGCCAGTTATGTCTTAAACTGGTTGATAACGTCCTTCCAATGATTGCTAAGTTTGTACCCATCTTCTCGGTTGAAATTGTGTCTGTGTCTGTATATATGGATGGTTGAGGAATTGGTTCAGAGCTGGTCGGCCATGTGGCCAGATGACCACATCAAGGAAGGACATTATCAACCAGTTTAAGTCATAACTGGCTGTGATGTTCCCATCCTGCCACCTTCCGATGTTAGTTGTTATTCTTGGCTCTCTGATTTTACATTAACACGTTCAATTTCTCACACCAACACAGCCACCTTTGCGCACCGTACCTCGACGTGGCAATGGCTCTGCCATCTTACATTAACATGCTAATCTCTCACATTATCATAGCCACCTCAGCGCACTCGCCGTGGAGGCCACTCTTAACATGCAAATTTTTACCAGGCAGCCCTTTAATTGGTGGAAACCCACCGCCAATCGCGGCCCGCTGCCCATCACTTACATTAAAATTAGCTGCCCTACCCATGCTTCTGACATTTGGGCTACGCCCATTTTAAATCTTTACAAACAGTTTGCCTTTAGAAGCTAACCCCCTTTTCCTGATGATGACCGCTTGTGTTGCGATCGAAACGTCGTAGTTTTTGTTCTTTTCTTTGAACCTATCGACGTGACTGTACCGAAAGACCCAAAGAATATTAATTCCTGCAGCCACGAAAGCTTTAAGTCAAGGCCAACACCAGTGACGGTTATCTGAACCGGTCCTGGACCTCCCCTAGGTCGACTCAGCATCAAATGAGTACTTGGTGCGATGTGTAAACATCGCCCCTGGCGATACAAAGGCGGCTGGGCGTGGCGCTGGCCACACACCCCCTCGTGTGTCATGCCGGTCTTCATAGGTGCTCGCTCACGGCAGCATTTGCCCCAACAGTCTATTAAGGCTATACGGGGGGATCTTTGTCTTTGTCCGCGAGATGCTTGCACGACAACGGTTGAGGTGCCACTGACTGCCTCGCATGGCCCTGCCCTGCACCACTTTATCAGCTAAATGCGTGTGTGTACCCTGCAACGGCCGACAATCCTCGAGACGCGTCTACGCAAGCATCTGCCGTCTGCTGTCAAATACACGTCGATTATAGCATAATAACCACACACGTTAAAACCCGTGTTCGCCCCCGCCATAGGAGTGTGGAATTTCCGCCACTGGCTCGTCGCTGTAAACAGGAGCCGAGCAGCACACCACTTAGACTTTAATGCAGACGTTAACGACCCCGTAACATCATCTGCAACAGTAGGCACGTCCTGTGCCTACTCAATGTTATACAATGTGCCGGTGTAAAGAATACTTGCATAGAGCGGTGGGGCTGTGGTTAGCGCATTGCAATATCACTCCAGTAAACTTAGTTATATTCCGAGTCGCGGCGAACATCAATTGTGAGCGATTTCCGAACGAGTCATGGGCTTCTTCTTTTCAAATTCGATACATATACCGTACGTAATAAGGCTGATGTTTCCGGAAAGAGCCCTTCTTCATAAGCAGACAGAGTACGGGGCAGTCCCCAACTTACGAACGGATTCCGTTCCTGAGATCCGTTCGTGAGTCGATGAGACCGATCGATCGTATAATTGTGCATTGACCCCTTCATTGATATCCCCCGTGCCTTGTCCCTCTCTTCCGTGATGACATCATACGCCGGTGCTGATGACGAATATTGCGCGATATAATTTTGTCCTGCGTTGAAGCTTGGCGTGTTTGAATGCTCTATCTGTGTGCGTATTTATTTATTTGTATTTACGGACAATGCCGCGGTCTCATTCGTAGAAGCCAGGCAGGGCGCACGAAGTGTCTCGGTCACCGTCTTTCGATCCACGACGATACATCGCTCCACGTGTGCGAGTTTCAACACGTTTTCATTATTCCAACTCAGTCGGTGCAATTCATTTCAATTGAAATTAAAACACGTGCATGGAAAAAAATGTTTTTTTAGGTATTAATGTTTGAAGAGAGATACAGTCTTACAGTCGTCCTCTCGATTTTCCAAACTCTTTTGTAGACACTTTATTTGGTGATGCTGCTGGTGCGTTGGCAGTGATGCACAGATAACAACAACAACTCAACATGGTCGTCAAGAATTCTGACTTAAAGGGAAACATCATCGGCGACGTTTCGGGCAGTGACCCTTGTTCATAGCACACGTGTTATTTAGGGTTATTATTTTTTTCCATTTGTAAACGAATTATGTACGTATATATACAACATATACACACGCACACACCCGAGTATGGGTATCCTGTCTGCGCGGCTGCGTGTGTTCGTCTTTGTGTAAATTCATGAATGCGTGCGTGTACATCTGCGTCTGTATGAATGTGTATACATGTGTCTGTATGCATTGGTATTTTGTATACTTGTTGAGGAGATGTTGCGTAGTAGTTAGCACAATGTACTACAAACCTGGTGACCAATATAACAGTTGCGAATATATGAACCGGTCCTGGGCCTCCAATAGGTCGAATCAGCCTTAAATGAGTACCTCGTGCGGTGTGTAAATATCAGCACTGGGAAGACAAAGGCGGCCGGGCGTGGTGTTGACCACCCACCCCCTACGTGTGCCGTGCCGGCCTTCATACGTGTTCGCTAACAGCACTTGTCTTATAACAGTCTGTTCAAAGATATACGGGGGATCTTTGCCTTCTTCATTGCATATGAACGCATGCGTCGATGTATCCGCGTGTCCTCCCTGGACAAGTGTTCGTATATTCGCTGTTCAATCAGCTCCGGCTCTTAAACCGTGCAACAGCCCTCTGTTAATCCACTGCTGGAAATGTCCCCCTATGTGGCCCTTCTTCATGTGCTATGAAGAAGGGCCATTGCCCGAAACGTCATCAAGCGTGCTTTTGTGCACCACCGTCGACGCGGCGTCAGCGCGCAATGCGTCCACCTGTGAACGTCGTGAACTCGCGCGCGGCGCGCAGACGCCAGCCCCGAAGAGTCGGAGCCGTGCCCTCGCAGCGAAGCGTCGGGGTCCCGACCCCGCAAGGAGCGCACGGCCTTCACCAAGGAGCAGATCCGCGAGCTGGAGGCCGAGTTCGCGCATCACAACTACCTGACGAGGCTGCGCCGATACGAGATCGCGGTCAACCTCGACCTCACCGAGCGGCAGGTGCGTGCCGAGACAACCTCCTCGCCCGCCCGCCCGCGAGCGCGTGCGTGGCGGCTGGGTGTGCGTGAATGTGTAAGGCGCGTGCGTGGTGTAAGGTGCGTGGGTGGTGTGGGTTCGTGCCGATACCCACGTACGCGCACACCCACCCACGTGCGCGTGAATGTGCGGGGTGCGTGAGTGGGTGTATGTCCGTGGTGGGTGTGGGTCCCCGCCAAGATCCACGTACACACACCCACGCGCGCCGGCTATTGAAAGAGTTAGTACCAACCTATGCTCCTCGCCTTCCACCCGTATTGACCAGCGTGGTGAAGTATGGTCGAATAACTCCCAGGACCCTTTAGGGGCGTGGCGAGACCCTCATATGCAGTGTGCGTGTTTCACGTTCGATACGAGATGGCAGAAAGAAAATCACGGCCACTGCGATTTTCCACGTTGAGTGATGGCAACACCGGCAGTTTTTTTCCGTCAAAATTAGAAACAGACGTTCCGTGTTCCAGAGCGATGGCGCAGTGGTTCGCACGCACACTGCGCTAAAATATCAGCCACCTGAGTTCGATTTCAGAGCGTGGCGAAAATCAGTGCCGAGTGATATCTGAACCCCTCCTTTGCCATCCCTTCACCAAGCCCGCTCTGACCAGCGTAATGACGCGTGGTCAAACAACCACCATGGCCACCACGGCTTGGCCTTCATCCAGCAGTGGATCTATAGAGGGCTGCAAATTATCATTGGCGTTGTTACATATTTTGTCAAATTGTGCACGTAGAGGCGTATAATGTGAATGCTATTTCGTTAATGAATAATGTGATGCTGTCATTACGTTAACAACCATCATAATTCGCAGCTATTATTTATTAATTGTAGTCTGGCGACTGAGCTGCCTGGTTCTGTATTCATAAATCAATGCAAAAGTACAATAACAGCCAATAAACCATGAGGAAATTGGACGAATGGACAGAATAACAGTAATGTCCTGCCACCGGCTGGCATGAACACTGTTCGACCGGAACTCATTGCAATGAAAGCACGAATCTGCCACAATTCGTCCTCAAGTGGAGAGCCGCCTCTGTCAGCGATTTCCTCAAACCCCCCCCCCCCCCACTCCCCAACCCCGTGATGCCACAACACACGCGTGACACATGCCGTACGAACCGGCTTCATTGCTCCACCTCTGCATTGTCCTCTTGACCCCACACCCCTTCCCGTGCTGTTCTACCCGTGGAACGTTTTATTCGGTCAATTCTCGCTCGGAGAATTCGAAATGTCAGAGTAAGGCACACAAAAAGTCACTTAAAGTTATCTCGGACGTAGCTCGCTAATGTTATACAGGTGTGAGATCTCGGAGGTGCTACTCACGGCTCTCTGTCGCCCTGAGGCCCCTTGGTTTCTCTGGCTGACCTGGGCTCTACGGTGGCGAGATGTTAACTATCTCGCCTGGTATACAGGAGGTCGTGGGTTCGATCCCGACCATGACGCCGGTATATCTGGAGTTTGCATGTTCTCCCCGTGGTCGCGTGGATTTTTCTCCGGGTCTTTCGATTCCACATTTTGAATCAACGTGCGTTTAGAGTATTTGGCTGCTATACATTTCCACGTGATAATAGGCCACTTCGTTGAACTGTCATTTGCGGCCAGGTCGCTTCTGAAAAAAGAGCTACATAGCTCAGTGGGTCTGACCTGGTTAAACAAAAAGTTAGCTGTTAAGTTTAGTTTATTTCCTTCTGCCGCCCATTCCCTCACACATTGTGTTACACTGCTCACTGCGGGAGTTCAGAGTTGATTATTCGCCTCGTGACGTGCCGCTGCTAGTACGATCAGGATGCATTTGGAGAAAAACGACAAAATACGATTAATTTATAGACACCTTAATTATTTCTAGTGGTCCCATTACTTCCCTCCCAATAACTGTTTGAATACTGTGACAGCGATGGCCCTGTGCATTACAGCGGTGCGAAAGAAGTTCAACATCCACGCATACAAAGATGTACGAAGTATACTGAGATCATCATGAGGCCTACTTTGCCAGTACCAAAATATACTAATCGGGTTTTTCCCCTTTTTTTCTGGCAACAAAACTGACACCTTTTATTTTTTGCATTTTTTACTGCAAGTATTGTGGTTAATGTGAACATGATTCCTTGCAAAAGGTGTCAGTTTTGTTGCCAGAAAAAAGGGGGAAAACCCCTATTAGTATATACTGATATCGGCGGGAGACAGGCTGAGAATTACAATGTATTTATCTCCATACATTTTCTCTGTTATTGTAATCGGTTCTCTAAATAGACGGATCCCCACGTATTTTTTTTCTGTAATGAAACGCTATGAGAATCTCGAGGGTCTACCTTAGTTGATGAAAATAAAATGCCTATCAGTTAGAAAATAAGCTCTTGGTATGAATTTGAGTACAGCTGTCAGAGATGGCTGCTAGAAATGTCAAGGCGAGACAGGATGGAGAAGTGCCGTAGTGGACGAGAGTCCACGGGCAGGCGAGCGTTGTTCCGCACGAGTCGGGGAGTAATGGTTGCGCTGGGTGGAAGGCGGAAGGGCCGGTTATTGAGACAAGCGTTGGAGCGGTTTCCACGAGTCCAGCGAGGAAGGCGAAGACCTGAGATGAGATGGTGGGACACTGGTAGGGCACAACTTGAAATGTTGAAGCCGCGTGTCTCGTGTGTAGCAGCTAGGGGGTCAGGGCCGCACGGACGGGGAGATGTGGGGAGAGGGGCAAATTGCTCTAGACATCACACGCAAGAGGGCCTTACAAAGGGCCTGTTTTTTTATTCCCCGTGAACAGCCACCCCCCCCCCCCCCATGTGCAGAACGCATTGGTAGCGAGGTGTCAGGTGGTGGTGGCGGCATCAATCCCACGGCTTTGGCCATGGCGGTGACATCTCGATCGTGATGATTCGCCCATTGGATCTCCCGCAGGTGAAGGTTTGGTTCCAGAACCGGCGCATGAAATGGAAGCGCGTGAAGGGCGGGCAGCAGGGAGCCTCGGTGCGCGACACGGAGTTGGCGCACGTGCGGAAAGAGCAGCTGCTGCCCGCGGAGCTGCCCGGGCCCCGGGGCAGCCGCGACAGGGGGGCAGGGCGCTCCGCCGAGGGCAGCAGCCCCCCCGAGAGCGGCGACGACGACTCCGACTGAGAACGCGGCGCCTCCTTTCTTCTGACTCCCGACGAGAGCAGCGAGTCCGCACGCGTGTCTCGGTTCTCCGGCATCCGTGAAGAACAAGAAGAGATGGAGAGCGGGAGTCATCGGGAGATTCACTGCGACACGACTGAAACACACGAGGAAGAAACAAAGACGCTGAGACCGAGAGAGACACCCAGCATCAATGGGAGATATGTTGAGACACACACACACACACAAGACAAAGGGGGAGTTATAGAGAACGGGTCGGAGATGGCGGTGCACGCCTCATGAACCAGCGCCGTGGAGTTGAAGGTCGGTGGATCAAATAGAGATGTGCAAAAATTCCGCACGTGCTGCTGAATTAGGGAGGTGGTCAGGAAATGGCAGTGCAGTATTAAAGCGAGTGGATTGATGAACCCATCTGTGCGGACCTTTGCACTCGTGATGGGGGGGGGGGGAGGTTATTTCCCGGGATAGTCGAGCGTTCGTTTTCTTGCGAAGAAACACCACCCGTTGAGAAGGAGCTCGCCCAAACCATCCCACGCAGTCCCGCGCCTCCTCCTTCTCCTCCAAAAGACTCGCGAGACACAGGGAGGCTTTCCCCGAGATAACCCAATGGTATCGTTGCCGTTACGGACTGAGAGAGAGAGAGAGACAGACTTGTAAACAACTTTTATTGCCGCCAGCTGCAACAGCACTGGAGGCGATTCCGATATGAAATACGCAAAGTCACCAGCAAACAAATGAAAACAAACGCTACAAATCCACGCGCTGTGGCGCTAAAAGCACCGCGCACAACACGAAAGAAAAGTCACGTGGTGGTGGTGGTGGTGGTGTTCATCGCGCACGCCACGGTGACGCGTGAGCGCTGCAGAAGGTGAACACGAGACAGAGAGATGGGAACACGAAGCTAAATTGCATAGAGCGAAGTGAAACTCAGCGTCGTGATGATCGCGTTCACACCGTATACATTTATAAATATGTTGATAACAAAATCACGCTCGGCAAATTTCATGAATGTGCTTGGAGGACAATGTTGAGTGACCGCAGTGCAGGGCGAGTGTGGTGTGTGTGCGTATGTGTGTGTGTGTGATTGTGTGCGTGTGTGTGTATGTGGAGCGGCGGCGTAGCGGTTAGCACACTGCGCTCTGAACCAGTCTAACCGAGCTCGATTCACGCTCACGGCCGACACCAGTGACGAATATATGAACAAGGCCTGGGCTTCCTCGAGGTCGACTCAGCCTTAAACAAGTACGCGGTGCGGTGTGTAAACATCGCCACTGGGGAGACAAAGGCCGCCAGGCGTGGTGCTGGCCACCCACCCCCCGCATGTGCCGAGCCGCTCGCCTTCATAGGTGCGACTCGCAAACAGCACTTGCCCCAAAGAATATGTTAAGACGATGCTGGGTGGTCTTTGCCTTTGCATCCACTCTCTTGCACTGCCTGTCGACGGGCAGTACCTGAAGGAGTGGAGATAACAGCTAAGGCCCACTGAGCTTTCGAGCTCTTTTTTTCGAAGCGACCTGGCCACTAATCATAGATCAACAGCGTGGCTTATCATGGTGGCATTTTTACAGGAGCCAAATACTGTTATCTCAACGCATGTTTCTAAATATGGAGAATAAAACCGGAGGAGCTGAAGAAATATCTACGTTACCACGGGGAGAACACGCACACTCCAAATATACAGCAGGCGTCAGATATCCGCATCGAACCCACGACCTCCTGTCGACCAGGCGAGATAGTTAACATCTCGCCACCGTAGAGCCCAGGTCAGACAGTTAAACCAAGGAGGCCTCGGGGCGACAGGGAGCTGTGAGCAGCACCTCTGAGAAGTCCGACCCCCCAACACCCCCACCCCTTGCAAAGACAAAAGCACGAGAGTCCGAGCTTGTGGTCGGAGGACTGTGCTGCTGCTGCTGTTGTTGTTGCTGCTGCTGTTGTTGTTGCTGCTGCTGCTGCTCAGCCATCATCGGAAGCGCCCCCGACGACGGTTGGGGGGGGGGGGTGTGAAGAGCGCGCGCCCCATGTGACGTGGAGAGAGACAGAGAGAGAGCGCTCTTGATATCAAGCGAACTTTTTGGTGATGCTGCTTTTGCCAATGGTGCACGGGCACAGATAACAACAATAGCAGCAACAGCAACAACAACAAAACACGCAACATAGTGTTGTCCAAAAGAACACTGCCTTTTGTAAGGAATAATATGCAATAGGCGACGTTTTGGGCAATATCCCTTCATAGCACGTAAATATTCACGTGCTATGAAGGGCACGTAAATAGCACGTAACTATTTAAATATTTTACGTGCTATTTAAAGGGCCTTTGCTGGAAACGTCGCCCTATTATAAACATTTTCCCTTTTAATGCCGCAGAGTGTCATTGGCGAGTGTGCTGCGTTTCTTTTAAATTTCACTCAGCTCCGGTTACTTCACGTGGGACTTGTTAACCAATCATCAGGCGCGTGCAGCGTCTTACTAGCATCCCCCCACCCCCACTATATTTGATAACAGAATCATTGGTAACCATTAACAGGAGCGCAGTGGTGGGTCACGAGGACTGGGGTCTGGTTCAATCCCGATATTGATGTTGGTCGGCACATAATCGGCGAGCGTGAATTTGCTGCACGCGAGTTAATCATTATTTTAAACAATCTAATTACTCAAGAGTTTGTATCGCTTCGCTAAATATACACACGTGTCATACACAATACGCGACGCTCGCCGTGGTGTCGTGTTTAGCACAGTGCAAAGGGGTTGCCGTTTTGTGGCAGTAGGTTCTTCCGTCGACCGCAGCCCGCTCTTTCCTCCCGTGCGCTCTGTCCACCCAGCGGGTATACATGGGTGGGGTAAAGTGTGTGTACATCCACCTCTTCCGAGACGTCTGGCCAGCGTGGAGGAATTGGCCACAAGCAGCCTCCGAGAGGGGAATCGCCGCCGGCGGTGACGGCGGGCGAGACATTGCAGGGCTGCGCCTTTGTCTGGCACCCATACGCACAGAGGACATCCGACACACTACGGCGTTGCGCGCGTGCCACCGTTAAAGTGTTTACTCAGGATGATCACAATGTTTACAGTGTAAAGGGCTTGACGTGTGTGCGCGCGCGCGTGTGTGTGTTTCCTCTCTTGTTCTTAATAGCGTCTCAATGGTGAGCGTGCTTAATTGTTTCATGACATTGCGTTGCTTTAATATATATTAAAGTACGGACCAGTGTTACGTGTGTAGGGAGGGGATTAGCCCGTCTGAGTTCTGGCGTGCGGACTGACACGCGTCCGTGGAACCACGCTGCTGCTGCTGCTGCTGATGCCGCCGCTGCTGCTGTGTAGAATAAACACGAGTTGATTATCTTAGCCCCGCGGCTACCCTCGTGTGTGTCCTTTACTCTTCACGTGTCGCTACGTGCACATGCGTGGTCCTATTTACAACAACACAAAGGCGTTTTGGTGGGTTCATCGAAGTGAATGGAAGTTCACTGATTGTCGCGTAGGTTTTGTTGACCGGCATTACGCAATGTCCGACGTTTCGCTCCGCGTCCTGGGAGCTTCTTATCTTCAGTTCGGGAACTGAATGTAATAAGTAGTAATTCTGTATGTTAATTTTTTTTTCTATATTAATTGCTATAAATATATTCATCTTCTGGATGTGGTGGATGCAGTAAAACCAGAGTTGAGAAAACATATTTCCGACTTAGTCCTCTTGGGACGAAAACAATTTGAACCCCCCTGGACTGTTTAGCTGGGTACGTCGTGTGTGTGTGTGTCTATATTTAGGCCATCATCATCAGCCGCAGCCATGCTCGATCCACTGCTGGATAAAACATCCCTAATCCTCCGCCGTATACTAAATTAAAACCACGCATATGCACACACATTACGGTATATTATCACGTAACCTTGTATAAATTGGAATTCTTTACTTTGTAATTACTTTTTTAATTCAAATAACAGATTTGAAAAGTGCTCTTAATCATATTCACTGCTTCCTACATACATTTAGTAACAATATTTGCGATTGACCATCTCGGCGAGTTTCCAGTGTTTTGTACGCGAATATACAACAGATATTCAAGTAACAATAAACAAACTGTAAATTCAGTATTCAAATTGTTCCTTCATTAACTTAAAACATTTCCCAGTTTTATTTTGGCCTCACAATGCAAAGTACGATCTCAAAGTGCATAGCCAATCGTTGCTATTTCTCTCCTCTGAAGAAGGGTCATTGCCCGAAACGTCAGCCTTCTCAGGGAAGGAAGGCTAAGGAAGGTCGGGGAAATCCGTGGAAGGGCAGAGAAAGTCATCGCAGGGCAGGGGCACGGACTGCTGTAGAGGAAAGCCTCTCCACGCGCGTGGTCTGAGTGAGCATACTTCACCACGCAGGTCAAGCGGGGGTTGGTGAGGCGGAGCGGACGGGCGACTAAACCTATTCGGTTATCATTTGTACACGGAGGCTAATGCCACGGTTGGGAAATGAACTCGGACATCCGGGTTCATAGCGCAGTGCGATAATCACTCTCCCACCGCTCCCCCACACTGACGGCTGCACGTGTACAAAGTGGTCCTGGGTGGACGCGCGCTGTTGTTGCGAGCTGAATGTTGAGAACGTGAGAGGGGTGGGGGGGGGGTGATAATTGACCGTAATTTGTGGTCTGTAAGTTTGAGTGGTCGTTGGTGATGATGAAGAGCTCCGCTGGTAGGGGTGGACATCCTGAAGGGGCGGACAGTTTTTCGGGTTGAATAAATATTTACGTGAAGGAGTGCGCGAAGATTTGTGTGTGTGTGTATTTGTGCGTGTGATTGTGGGGCAGTTGTGGAGAGAGTGGACACGGGCTATAAAAGAGATGGAGTGATGTGGTACAAGAGGATGTGGAGCTGAGTGGACTTGCCGATGACTGGGACCAGCGGTGTCAAGATCGGCCTCTGTGGAGGAGGCTCGTGAAGTACGCTGCTGGGCAGTTGGAGGCAGTCGCCCTCCAACAACAACGGATGGCGGAGGAACGACGCTCACAACAACGAGCGGAGCGCCGGGCGGATAAAGCACAGCAAGTTGACACAGTAGGGGGCACAGGTGGTGCATCTGCCAGTCATCTCAGTCGACCCGTGGCATCTGGGTCTGCCCCGTGACCTCCTACCAGCGGGCGTTCGACACTTATCGTGGCCTCAACGTGCACATAGCCTGGCACATGCGTCGTGGTGACGTCACCGCCACTTAATGTCGAATGGCGGTTGTTGTTGTGTGAATGTGCTTGTGGGAGCAGTGGTGTAATGGTTAGTGCGCTGCGCTACGAGTTCCATTCTCGCTCAACACCAGTGACGATTATTTGTACCTGTCCTCGGCCTCCCCTAGGTCGACTCAGCCTCAAATGAGTACCTGGTGCGGTGTGTAAACATCGCCACTAGGGAGACAAAGGCGACCGGGCGTAGTGCTGGCCATTCACCCCCTCGTGTACCGTGCCGGCCTTCATAGGTGCTCACTAACAGCACTTGCCCCACCAGTCTGTTAAGGCTATACGGGCGATCTTTGTGTGTGTGTGTGCGGGGGGGGGTGGGTGTAATGACTAGCGCGCGGCCAACACCAGTGTCGATTATTTTGAGGATCTCTGTGTGTGTGTATCAAGGTGAGTGTATAAGAGTGCACGAGCGTGTGGTGAGTTTGTGTGTGAGTGTGGTGCTGACTGCACCACACTCCTCTAGGTCGACCCAGCCTTAAATGGATACCTGATGCCGTGTGTAAATATCAGCAATGGAGAGACAAAGGCGGCCGTGTGCCCTTTGGGCTCTCGCAGGTGCTCGCCAACAGCACTTGCCCCAACAGTCTATACACAATACTACACACATATATAGACGGTCATGACCGACTGCGGTAGATGATGAATGCATCCGTCAGGATGATTTGTCGTTTCTGTAAATGCAACTCGCGTGGAAAATCCGACGCGCTTGACACGGAGGCGCTGACGGTGAAACGATAGAGCAGAGCGGAGCGGGCGGGCGGGCGAAATCCGATCTCCCGTGGGCAGCTGATCGGGGTTATGGGGTGGGGGGCTCTTTAACCACAGCTCTCTTTTCTCGCTCTCCCCCAATTTCACCGACCCCCTCCCACTCCCCCCCTCCATAACAACTCTCCCCCCATCTCACACCCCATCCTTCCCAATTCCCTTCCCATCCGCACCTCACTCCACCATCTCTCCCCAGATCATGTCACCAGGAACCCGACCGCCAAATAAAATTACCCGCGAATTGCTTCATTGGGGATAAACGCACGAGGCAACGGCGACTGCCACCCGACTGACGATTCGTTGACAGTCCCTTTGTCAATCCACTGCTGTATGAAGGCCTTCTCGGTGCACGTTGTGTCAGTCACGGAGGTTGATTGAACATACTTCACCACGCTGGTCAGCACCGGCGATGGTGAAATATCAGAATATGTATTCATCCTCGAGAAATCCGACGAGCCATGAAGCTCTTTTTCACAGATGTCCAGCAGGGTTAGGATCAGAACGTTAGAACAACAAACAGTAGGAGGGAGGGAGACCAGAACGGGTTCAGATGTCACTTGCTACTGGTGTGAGCTATGGCCGGGAATCGAACTCAAATCGAAAAGTTCGCTGTGCCACCGTTTCACAACCGCCACCGATATGACGGCGGCCTTAGGTTCTCCCGATTTTCTCCTTTCGCAGGGCTGCTGATGTAGGTGGCAGAGCAACGACGACAATCTCACATTCTGGTGGTCAATCCCAGACATCCGCGTCAGCAGCAGCGGAGTGTTATCATCGCTGTGATGTCTCCGGCGCAGTTATGGACAGGGGTATTGCGTCGTCTTACGTTGTACGGCCTCTTCCGGATGACCACAGTCGCACAATGGAGAGTTTCTATTTTATTTTATCTTCCATTTGTGCATCAGGTTTCCGCATCTGCCACGGTTTGTGCGGATGCGATTTCGGGTGGACCATGAGTTTCGTGGAAGATCAAACCCAAAAGATCTTCTGCGTTGGGTCTTTCACAAGGATGTTTGGTCTTGACTTAAAGCTTTCGTGACTGCAGGAATTCATATTCTTTGGGTCTTTCGGTAAAGTCACGTCGATAGGTTGAAATAAAATAACAAGGATGTTTGTTCGTGCGTTATTTAGAACTCCACTCAGCTCTCCAATGACAGCTCTCCCAATGAGCACGTGTCAAACGCGTGCACGTGATTCGTATTGGTTTTCCAAGCACACGTGGGACAGATATTAACTAACATCGTAATTGTGAAGTCATTTATTTAGCCAGGAAGGCCTTTCCGAGACACCTTATCTTTTTTTAGGAGGGTCCCGCTACTTTGGGATGTTTGGTCAATTCTATTGAAGAGGAGGCCGGAGAAACCCCACTGCACACACGTGGAGGTAACACTCATCACTGACATCCCCCGGCCACGTCTAGCAGCCCCTGCGCCTGCAACACCTGGCAAGCCCTGGTTGTCACCCATCCCATGTGTTAACCCAGGCTCAAGTCTGCTTGGCTTCGGAGATACGATGAGATCGGGCACATTTAGAGTGATGTGTATGCATGTGGTGTAATGCGTTTCTGTTGGAGTCGGTAACTTATTTTGTGCATAACAGAGGTTTGTTGGGTTAGACCGCGTAAATATATAAATGTGTCGTTAAACCCGTCACCACCCGACACAGCCAACTAGTAAGGGTTGTCACGTAAACAGAACATGTAAAATCGTCACTAGTACAGCACACCGGTGTGTTGGAAACGTCGTGATTTGTTTCATTTTATTCTATTTCTAACTCCGTGACTTTACCGAAAGAACCAAAGAGTATGGATTCCTGCAGTCACGAAAGCTTAAAATCAAGATTGTGTGTTATTTGGCGTGTGGACGTCCACGAGTATTGCTGGTCTTATACGAGCGGGTATTTGAGTCCCGTCCTTCTCGGATGCGAGGTGAGTTTTTCTCCTGCTACTCCGGTAGTCTCTCCCACGAGAAGCCAAACCGCTCCTTATAAAAAAAAAGAGGCAATTGGCCAAACATCCCAGCGCAGGATCGATAGTGGAGAAACGTCTTGAGTCTGTCCTGCAGAAGACCATGCATGTCCAGACATGCGGCACGATTTAGGTCGGTGTTCAAGAGCAGAGCTGACGAGATTACGGAATAAACCGCAGTCTTACTACGTCTATGTAAAATAACTGTTTGAGTCCTACGGGCCGTGAGCCTTTCAAACAGATGTCTTACCGCAGGATTTATTGAAGCGCGGCGGGTGGGGTGATGGTGACGCACACTAAGTTCGACTCCAGACCGCGGCGCGTGAATTCGGGCAGGTGGCAACCCTTAACCCCAAGTCTGGTGGCGAACCGATTCCTTGATTTGTGAAGAG